GTTTTAACGAGTCAAGCTGTTAATGTCATCAAGATTGCAGGAGCAGTTTTTCATTGGTCTAAGCTCTTTCCTTCCTTCCCTCTGTCTTTTTTCCGTGTGTTTCTCAAAACTGAAGAAACCCGGACCCCCCTGGCCCTAACTCTCACTTACAGGTGGGATTCTAGAGTTTCAGCTAAAGTTTAAAAGTGATTACTGTGTCTTGAAACAACCCTGTCCACACACTGGCACGTCAACTAAAGCTCCGAAGAGGGTGATAACAGCCAGCGGCGCAGCAGCACAGGAGAACCTGAGACCACAGCCTGCTGGCCGTCCGCCTGCCGCTTGATGTTTAACAAGCCGGCCATTTRAGCACCACTAATAAAACATCTCCTGCTGGGCAGATAGGCTCTTCATAAACCCTCACCTCAGTGTGTTCAGTGGACATTTCTTTCTGCAGCTCTTCTGTTCTCTCCTCTTTCTGACCAGTGAATTATCAGTCAGCTCTTCTGTAGGCGTCATGTTTTAACTGTAATTGAAGCAATAAAAGTGAAACAGCCACATTAAAGCAGCTGTAAAATCTTGTTCATTCAGGAGTAAAATGCATACGTAATGGCTCATTTTTAGCAGATGTATATTTTTCTGTAGTGAAATAAAAAAAACAGATTTTAGTTCAGTGTTTAGACCATAAACCTGATGAATGTTCATGTTTTGTGAAACACACCTAAAACCCTGTAATGTATAACTGGCCAGAAGTAAATTAGAAAATAATTCTGTATAACCAAAACTGTTGGTGTGTTGGGGGTTGTTCGGAGGGTTGTTGAGTWAAAGCTCCTTGGGCAGATAAAAGGGAGGGGAGTGTGCTTTATTTTGGGTGGGGTGAAGAGGAGGAATTCCTAATATTAGGTTTCCTTCAGTCCAGATGCCAAAGTTTTGTAGTCACTGMAAACTGCAGGGTTTGGACAAAAGCTTCATTCCAGTCCGGGGTATTAATCAGGTGACTGATTTGGTCTGAAGCTCAGTTTTAAATGCACTAAGACTAAAAATTAATTTGTAAATACAGTAAGTGCAGTATAATGGTGCTGTCCTGTCATGACTCTCACAGTATTTTTGTTTAATAATGAGAAGTACTTTTTAATGGGTCTATATTATGTGTTTCTCAGGCATTTATTTAAATACTATACCATAATAAAGTATYTATGTCACCTTTAGCTGTTATTAAAATGCTGTTTTTATGTTTAAATGGAAAAATAAAATTATCTTCTCATCACTTCCTCTTCTAAATGCCTTGAAATTGGCCTCTGTCTCTTTAAGAACCACCTTCTGCTCTGTCCCGTCCATTTTGGTGCGGGGGGGGGGGTGTGCTGCTATGATGCAGTTTACTTGTCATCAGAAAATACATTTCCTCAAAGGTATTTTTTAATCTGAAAAGAGCTTCACTGAGTGAGAACTAATGTTGAGAGCTCAGCAGACAGTTAGGTTTCACTTTCACTTTGACCCGAGAGCCTGCAGGAGTCATGGGCGGGGTGTGTGGGGAGGGGGGGGGGTGGTGCTCTGCCATGAGGAAGTTCGGCTTAAAGACACGCCCCAAAGGTGTTTCTGGTCCCCACCTGTCGTTTTGCTCCTCAGCATGGCTTCGTAAAAATGCTGCAGGATTTCTGAAACATGCATGAATGAGTCGAGCAAGGCTTTGGGCGTTTTTTTTTTTTTTATGAGAGTATAACATTATAACATGATATAAAACTAAAAAGTTAATTTTACATGATATTGCCCCTTTAAGAACATGGGGCAGTTGTAAAGCAGCAGCTTTAGTAATCGATTAATCTATTGATTATTCTGATGATTATTCGAGTAATGGGAAATAAAAAAGTCATGTTCTGCAGTAATTACTTAAGCTTATTT